TTAATACCACTTCGACAGCTGGGATAGCAGCATGAAGTTAAGATGCTCCATGTATAAAATATTTTAAACTCTATCAATGAAAGCTACTTTTAAAAACCACAAATATATAAAATCACTTACTTTAGCCCTGTGTCAGATTTGAAGCTAATCATCATTCACAGAACCATTCATGTTATAACCATCATTCACCAGACCATTCACATCACTCACATTATATTAATGTTAATTATAATTTACATAGAGTTGAATAGTTGATAAAGCACTGTGTTTTTTGTTAACTTATTTGGACTTTGACAAGAATCCTGTAGGGTATAAGTAATATCCCAGTTTTACAAATTAGGAAACAGGTGCTCAGGGAGGGGAAGTCACATGTATGGGATTCTGGTATGACTGAGTCCAAATGCTAGGTTCTTTCCCTAGACCAATGAAACATTGGTCAGCTTAACAGGTTAAGACTACTAGTTTTTTTAATCCAATTTTTTAAGTAGGATAGAATAGGAAATAGCAGAGCCAGAGCCTCAATATATATGAACATCACCATATGTGAAAGCTAACACATACACACACACATATACTAGGTCACCATGTAAAATATGATTTCTTCCTGTAGATGTTGGGCAAAAAAGTTTGACAAACACTGAACATGTGTCTAGCCCCAGGGGTGTTTTAAATTCACTGTGGAAACTTTAAAAAGTCAATCTAACTGATTTATTCATTTACAAAATAGGGATGTAAATATTTTTCTTCTCTACTTCCTAGGAGGCATTTGAAAATTAAGTGATACATGTGGAGAAAAAAAACTTTGGAAACTGTAAACTTTCTGTACAATTGTTTGTGCTTTTGCAAACTTGAATTTAGGGGCTATACAAAAAAAGTTGCTGCTGATATTCAGAATTAAAAGAACTCCACAGTGACCTCCTACTTTTGTGGGACCGTCACTATCCCTTCATTCTCTGTAACAATGTAGGGGTGCTTAAGAGGGAGAAGTGAGTATGAACAATTTCTGAACTTCATTTTTTTGTGATCTTTCTAACTCTCAAATAAAAAGGTTGACCATTCATCACCCATATGGCAAAAGTCTTTTCCCAAGCACTGGAGTGTCTTGCACAAAGCCCACATTCAATTCCGGTAAGGAAAAAAACGCATATAACAGACCATTATTAAGATCTTACTGCTCAAAAGCCCTAGTTAGGTTTTTTCTTACAGTAACCAATCTCCAGGATATATATATATATTTTTTTAAATAACCAGTTAACATATGTTAAATACCCACATATATGGGCTACTAAAACAAATTGTTAGGCGAAGTGATTTTCTTTCTATTTTATTATTCATTCTGGAGGCAGTGATTTATTACCCTAGATAAAGACACAATTACTCAAGTGTAATATATTTTTCCAGATTCTAATAAGCCAAGTGAAAATTGGTTATCCAAATATGCTCTTCCCTTTAACTTTTTCCTGGAGCTGGATTATCGCTGTTCTTGAAAATACAAAATCTCCTCTGTCCTCCAGAAATCGTGCTTAGTTCAAAGTAAACTGTGTTTCAGCGTCATTTTTCAGCCAGAAGCAGAACAATGGACCTTTCCAGGATTCTGTAAGATAGGAATCTACATTTGTCTCTGTTATCTAGTGATCGGCAACCGTCAACTTTCAAAGAAGCATCTGGACAACGGACACTGTCAGTTACCCTTGTACGAGAAGGGAATTTATCAAATTTGGGAAATCAGGCGTGCAAATAACCCTCCAAGGTCGGCTCCCGAGACCGGGAGAAAGTAGGTGAAAGGCTGTCGTGGCCGCACACCTCGCAGAGGCTGCACGACGCAGGAGGAGGAAGCTCGCACTGCCCTGGACTTTGTCCCTCCCTGAATTCCGAGCGAGCAGCCTCCTCACTGCAGCCCGAGCCAATTAAGAAAGACCTGGCAAAGCCCAGCCCCGCGGAAGGAACGGTTTCAGAGTTGTTTGTTTCTCTTCTATAGAGGAACCCTTCCTCGCCCTGGCTTGTACTCTGTCTGGTGTTTGATCGAATAACCCTTTAAAAGCAGTTTGAGTGATTGGTAGAAAACACACCAAAAGCTGGCAGCAACAAAAAGAATGAAATTCCTGCTAGACGGCCTCCTGCTTCTGTCCTTACTAATACTCTTCTCTTTAGAGTCTTTGGTGAAGCTTTTTATTCCTAAGAAGAGAAAATCAGTCACCGGAGAAATCGTCCTGATTACGGGAGCTGGACATGGAATCGGGAGACTGACTGCCTATGAATTTGCCAAACTTAAATGCAAACTGGTTCTCTGGGATATAAATAAGGTAATAGCGTTTACTGTGTTTTACTTCCTGGTACCTTTAATCTGTGGACATGTCAGCATTTTGCCGGCAACCACCCCTTGCAGCATCTCTGTAAAGTCGGTAGAAAAAAATTTCTGTTGCCATTTTGCAGATGGGGGGGGGGGGGGGGGA